ATGTGACACTGATATAAAGGAATTGACTTCATGTTCATGGTCAAATCCAAGGTTCATTGCTCCTTCATCCTCAATAATCATATTATGCATTATTATGCAAGCTTTCATAATATATGTAAGCGTTTCTCCATCCTAGTATCAAATAGATCCACGTACAATTGCAAAATGAGATCGGAGCACCCCAAATGCCTGCTTCACATCTTTTCTTGCAGACTCTTGTTTGCTTGCAAAATATTTTCTTTTTACTCCTAATGGTCTTGTGATTGTTTTAACAAAAGTTGACCAATTAGGATAAATCTCATTTGCTAAATAGTATCTCATTATATATTCATGCCCATTAATTGTATAATTGATAGGAGTAGTACGACCTTCAACAAGTGCAACAAAGATAGGTGACCGATCAAGAACATTAATATCATTTAATGATCCAGGCATTCCAAAAAAGACATGCCATATCCAAAAATCTTGTGAAGCCACCGCCTCTAAAATTACAGTTGGTTCACGACAATGACCAGTATACATCTCATGCCATGCAATTGGACATTTCTTTCATTTTCAATGCATACAGTCAATGCTCCCTAACATCCCTGGAAATCCACGCTACTCTCCAATTGATAATAATCAACAAATATCGACCTCATTTGGTTCCCTTAGATACCAATCATCAAAAACTTTTACGATTGCTTTGACGAAAGCTTTAAGACTTTCTATCGCAGTGGTTTCTCTAATTCGAAGATATTCATTAGTAAGATCTGCAGGAATACCATATGCAAGTATTTTGTGAGCTGCAGTTACCTTTTGAAGATAAGATAAACTAAGAACACCAAGAGCATCTGTCCTTTGTTTGAAATATGAATTATGAGCTTCCACTGCATTTGCGATCCGAAGAAAAAGACGACGACTCATCCTAAATCTTCTTCGAAATTGACTTTCAGTGAATTTAGAATTTTATGTAAAATAATCACTATATAACCTTAACTCACCTTCTTTTCTATTACGATTGACAATATGGTGACCAGGAATAGAGTCACGATATCCTGTTCTCCGCCCTTGATTATTTGATTCTTCTTCAACAACCACAACAGTAGCAACTTAAAAAGCAAACAAAGGAATGTCATCATCAAAATCAAAAGCATCATAAAAAATTAAAATTAGAATGATTCATGATGAATTTTAATGAAATATAACAAAGATTGGAGAGAAGAAAATGATGAGAAAAATGTTAAGATATATAAAAATAGTTATAAATGGACTATTTTTTCGAATTGTAAAATCTTAGAATGTTGGCTGTAATTTTTTTAAAATTTGAAATTTTAAAATTTAAAATGTGAAAGAATTGAAACTTTCAGCAGCATCACTTCGGAAAACCAGCCTATCATTCCCTTAACAAACTGCCAATTTAAGGCCTCTGGTGAAAACCTGGCATAAAATTGGAATTGCGAATATGATCATATTCGGACAGGAATAAATTGTTGTTAGAGAGCTGTTTAGGAAGCTTGGTTACATCAAAGTTCCTACACTTACTTCCCAGAAAGGCCCAATGAGATGCCAGAAAGAACCAAGTAGGTAGCAAATGCCATGCAAGGAATGTATAAATCTGGAGCATTTATGTCATTAATTGGAGGTTTATAGGATAGCCTGCCTCCAACTGGCTCAGTTATTCTTGTCCAGTGACCCTAGAAAGAAGATAAGAGAGAACTGCATTACAGTTTCTCAAGTGAACCAACTACTTACAATCTTACATGTTTGTTTTTCTTAACCTTAATGCATTTATGTTATTTCACTTACCCTGTTTAGAAAAGGAAGAAGAACAATCTTCAATTTGTTCCTGACATAATGGCCATTCACTTGGAAGTAATATTGAGGGTAAGAGAAGCACTTGCTTATCTGCTCATCGACAATAAAATCATAAGAAACACATTCAATTGTTGATGCCCAGCAATGTTTTCTTACCAAGTACTGATATCACATTCATTAACCTTACGAAAATAAATATTCTTACAGAAGTTAATCAGTTATAGATGTCTAATGTGCTGTAATTCAATCTGATAAAAAAAACAAGAATACTCGGGTCATTACATGAAAGAGTCATCTGAACTATTGAGCTTTGTAATTCTTTGTTTGCTACGCCAACCTATCTAGCTAGCAATATATCCACAGGGATAAAAGTACTCACATTGCTTTGTACATACTCAGAGCCTGACCCAAAAATTTTCTCTCCATAAGCACCCAATCCCCCTCGAATGAGCCCTGAACCAGCTGCAGAAAATGGAATGGATTTGGGATTCATTTTCACCTCCACCCTAAAATCCTACTTCTCATATGTCACTGCGAGAAACAATAAATGTTCTTTAAGTATTGTAGATTTCGTTAGGACTTAAACGAGATAAATAAATAAATAAAAACAACTCAATCAAGCAACTATAACTTGTTTATCTGTCTCACGCCATCGTTCTAAATTGGCTTATTGAGACAGGACACAAAGTAAAACAGCAAGCATTCTCAACTCTAGTTTTCGATCTCCATCATGCTACAGCCCAGTAGTACAAGAATGAAAATCTGATTGAACCTGTAAAAGGGGGTAATATCTTGATTCTGATCTAACATTAGCAAGAATTAATTCTAACATATGTCAACGCTTTTCGAGATTCCTCGGTTCAGCCCATGATCATGAATACTCATTGTATTTTCCTTACATTCCCGTAAAAATGGAGAACGTTTGGATCTTAGTTTTGGGTGTGGTAAATTAATAGAACGAATGTGAAATAGAAAGTGTGAAAGGTGGAAAGGAATAAGAGAGAGGACCTGAAGCTTTGTTGCTAAATTTCTTTTTTCACTTTCTGTATTGCTCAATCTGTGAAATGCAATGGCTAAGGTCGCGCGGAGAGCTCCTTTATTCTTGCCTCTAATGGAAACGTTGCGTTTTTATTTATTTCTTTTTTCCTTTTTTGTCCTTGTTTGTAAAAAATCACAAATGCCTCTAAAAATAACGAAGATAAAAATTGCAGCAAATGAATAACGTTAAGAAATTAAATTAAGAAAACGTGAGAAATGCATTTTTACATTATTAAAAAAAACTTATTTTTGATTAATATATGTACTGATTTAAAAATATCTTTTATTTAAATAAAATAATCATTTAATTGGTAAAATCAGTGCACACACTTGGGATCAAATTAATCAAAATGCATTTCTTATGCTATATATATATTATTATACGTGATATTATTACATATATATATAATAAAAATTTAATTTATTTTAAATATTTATATAATATTAAATTAATAAATCTAGAGCAAAAATAAAATTCATGAAACAAAAAAATTTTGTAAAAAAAATTATAAAGTTGTTATAATTATGAGCTTTCTAATGCATTAAAGTATTATTCCTAAAATATTCTTGGTTGATACCCTCTTCAATATTGAATATTCATTACAATCGCAAACACTGATATATATTATGTTTTTTTTCTTAATGAAAAAAATAGTTATTCTCATAACTTAAGATTTAGAACTAATATACAGGTGTTTGTCATAAGATATGTATATTAAACTGATACATATGAGAATTTTATATAGAGAAATCATCTATATCTATGAAAAAACTTACATAACGATTGTGTAAGTAATCCTTAGACTTGAAATCACCAAGTTATCTTTATAGAAAATGTTATATTTTAATTATGTTATATGTTATTTTAATCAAGGTAATGAATGGGTAGACGATGAGCATAATATGAATTATATGAAAGTACTTGAGTAGTCAATAAATGATTTATCACTCTAGCTAAATTAGAAAAAATATTCTATATATTCTCAAATAGTATTAACTAAGAAATCTTTAGCCAAGATAAAATGAGATTTAAAAAGAATTACAAATCTTACTTAAACGATTAATAACTATCATGTAATAAATAAACATGATTTAACATGGCAGACATACTCTATGCTTTAATGTTAAATTAGAATATTATTAATAAAAAAAATATTAATAACACTAAAAAACTAGTCACCGAAAAGTTAAGTCAATGTACTAGTAACTTTTCTAATATTTGATGGATCATGACATATTGTTAAATGATGCATCTTATCTTCAAAAATAAATTAATTTATTTAATTCTATTTAATTATAGTTATAATTTATATTTGAGTTAATATTTTAAGAACCTAATGGGTCACTCACAATAAAAATCATTAGTAAAAAATTAAATTGAGATGATTTAATTAAATATAACTTGATTAAAATATATTTTAAAAATTAAAAATTACAATATAATTAATAAAGGGCTTATAATTATAAACCTAGAAAACTCAAGTAAATACTTAATTGAGTTAATTTCTAAAATTATCCTAAATTAATATATGAATTTATTTAGGGGACAAATTAATATTTTATCAATTTATAGGATTTTTTAGATTTCTCAGGACATGCCTCTTATTTTTTAGTAGTTGACTGCTAGATAAAAAAATTACATAAACACAAAATTAAAGATAGCATTCTAAACATAACAATCCATCTCTTCTAAATAGAGATTAAATTGTTTTTTCACTTATGTGAATTATTGTTGGAAATTGAATAATTAAAAGACTTGTGGTTTATAATAGCACAACTTTTAAAGAAATATTTAAAGTTGAAATAGATTAGGATTTTCTGATAATAAATTTTTAAACAATTCTAGATTTATTTAATAATTATAAAAACTTTCAAATAATTTTGTTTTATTGTTTATGTTGTGGGTATGATATTCAGAAACATAACAGATTTTTATAAAGAAAAATTATAAATATTAAAAAACAAAATAAAATAAAATGTGTCAAAAATATATATGAATTTGTGTAATCGATTCATTTATTTGTGGTGAATTATCCAATGACTTGGTGTGTGTTGGGCATTATAACATCTGTTGAGTCGGCAAAAATATTTCCTAGAAAAATTCTCAATCGTACATTTGTTCTTGCAAAATAAGTGGTTTCAACCTCACATTTGAGTTTTTCTGTTTTTAAATTAAGCTGACTCGGCTTGATTGTAGGGACTTTGAAGTTTCTTTGCAAAATATATTAGTTTTGGCTAATATTTTGGAGTAATATTAACTTTATACTCAAACTCTTCTTTATTTTCATTTTACCTTTAAATTGTTTTGATTTTTTAATTAATTTTTGTTAGAATCAATTAACCAAAAAGGATAAGTTCTCTGGGAAAAAAAAAGACAGCATTTCATATAAAAAAATATAAAATTTGAACGTAAATATAAATGAAAAATCTTATAATAGACAAAAGTCCTTAATCAAGAATAGTAAATCAGGGGTTTCGGCGTTTATCTTGCCTTAAGCAAGGATAAGTTCTCTAGAAGAAAAAAACAGCATTTCAATAAACAAAAAAAAATTCATTAAGTTGTTTTTTTGAAGTTTATCTCGCCTAAAATAATAAATCGAGGCTCTAAAAATTTCAAAATTGGGTTGATTTTGAGACTAATTTTTTCCAAGTTTATGATAATAATTGGATTTAAAAAAAAAACATCTAAAACGTTTTTTTAAGTGAAAATTTAGTTGAAAATAGGTTTTTAGGATTAAAAAACTAGATACTGATTTT